TTTTATGAGTGGCTCTGTTAAAGGAACTGAACCTGTTTAAAGAGCTGCTATTCCCATCATTACAGAGCACTGTGAGTTTGGGATGGTGTTGGATGATATGCTTCAAAACAGATTGGTATGCAGCATTAACAGTGATGCTATTCAGTACTGCTTCTGGGTGAAGCCCCACCGCTGACTTTTAAGGAATGGAGTTGGCTACTCACATCCGTCGCCAAAAAATGTCGGACTCCGTAGTTTTCTCTGGACCCTGACCAGCGGTGACATGTTTAGCCACTCAACTGCTGGTTGTCTAGGTGGTGCCCAGAAAACGACGTGGGCTTCATAGACAACTGGAAAACATTTTGGGGAAAACCTGGTCTGATTATCAGAGACGGCATCCACCCCGCTTTGGATGGTGCGGCTCTGCACGAGTTTATTTTACATCCTAAATTATGACAACCCAGAGCTGAGACCAGGACTCAGGCTCGCAGTCTAACACACCTCTCTGCGTCTCTTTGCAGCTGCTACCCACTCAACACTCCCAGTGCCCCATAGAGACTGTGTCTGCCCCCCGACCACCTAAATTATACAAGTCAAAAATCACCTCCAGAGGAGTTATTCTAATATGCAGGTCTGCTTCCATCCTGGATTGCACCTGCACAGGTCCATAGTCCGTCTGAAATGAGCCATGAGCCATACTGGTATGAAAAATACATCTTATAGCCTTGGCAGTGGCCACAGAGAGAAAGAAATAAAAAGAAGGCCTGAAAATAGAAGGGGGTGGGGGTGAGGTTAGTACAACAAGGAGAAAACATCTTGTGCTAAATCTGAGTTAATGCAGCTTTAAGGGTAAAATGGGTCAGCAATAAAACAGTTTTTTCTGAAAAAATTCAATACATCTTTAAACATATATCTCATTTATTTCTCGTAGACTGCCCCATGACATTGGAGATAGGACAAACACTTAACACCATTAAACCGTTTAACCTTATTATGAAAATGCACTTGGAGCGCTTTCCGTGTCAGTCTCATGACAGTCTCAGTTTCAGGTATTTTCATGCACACAATAGCAACTTTTAACGGATAAAATTCATTTCTACTCATCGACAAGTGTGGCAACAATTTGATTTGTGCTTTATATGTGTGAAAAATTGAACAGAGTTCTTCCTGTGGTGACGTGTTGACGCAGCGGCGATGATGCGTATGTAAATGATGAAGCCTTCCTCCTGTGATTCGCGGGAAAAGTGAAAAATGGCGGCGGAAGAAATTTGAAGTTTAGCGCCGCTAAACGGTGACAGACACTCAGAGACACAGAGAGGTGACACCGAGCACAGGGACACAGCTTGTCTGTCTGTCTGTCTGTCTGTCTGTGATTCACCATATGTGCGGACAGGTGGGAGTCAGCGGATCAGGAGAGGTAAGATACTCTAGTTTTCCGTTAACCCGCTTCTGCTCCGTTAAATCCGTTATTTTAGTCTAGTTTAACCCGGGTCAGGCTCAGCCGTTCATACGCTGTTATCGGTATGAAAGCGGTTTGTAAGCCCGGTAGATAACAGCATACTGTCGGTGTGGAAACAGCAGACTGAAGTGTTGGAGAGTGAAGAAGACGGTGTTAACTTTACCATTCAATTACTGGCCAGTTGCCGTTACGCCGCAGCTAACTTGACTGGGTGTGTTCAAGGTTCAAGGATTTTGTCAATTCACCATATGTGCAGGACATACAGAAAATCGAAATACCGTTTCTCGCTCACCTAGTATTGGGTGCCATTACATTTAGGAACTAAAATGGAGTAAAGTAGAGTAAAAATAGAATAGAATAAGAACTGGATTGACGTAATTAGGATAAATCTAAACGATACCGCCAATAAGCTGTGACTCAAAACCATGTACAGTTAGTGACAGTAGTGAAAACAATAATATGAGATTGTCAGATGGTTCAGCATCACCAGGGCGTTCTTGATGAGGTGCAAACTGCATATGAGGTATACATGTGCTCACTGAACTAACTTTAATGAGTTAGTTAAGTATCAGTGTTTATCCCGGGTAAGTTAGCTGCTTATTACCCGCACTATTCCGTTAATTTAGTGGTTAAGAACCCGGTAAGCTCGTGGTTAGTCAGTTAAGGGTTAGTGTGTGATGGGAGGAGGCACTGCGCATGCTCCGACATGTCAAAATCCCCCTAACAGTTAAGGAATGAATCACAGCCACAACCTGCCTGCCTGTCTGTCTGTCTCACTGACTGACTGACTGACTGCCTGCCTGCCTGTCTGTCTGTCTGTCTCACTGACTGGTCTCACTGACTGACTGCCTGCCTGTCTGTTTGGCTCACTGACTGATTTCCTGCCTGACTGTCTGTCTGGCTCACTGATTGCCTAAAGCTGTGTCCACATTCCAGTGGGTGTTTCCCTCCCAGTGACTTAGACCTGATGTTCCCACAGAAGTGTGAACAGACCAAACCAGATATTCTCAGATCAGATCTGGGCTACCTGCATATATCACAATTGGCTTTAATTGCCAAGTATGTTGAACATACATGGAATTTGTCTCTGGCACAGAGGCTCTAAGTGTGTTTTAGACAACAGATGATGGAATAGTGCAATCAAAGGTAGGGGAAGCATGAGAGGAGGAGGAGAGGCAGTATTGATAAACATTATATACATATAGGCACACTTCGAGCTATCAGACTGTTGTATGTAGCTGTACTGTTTACAATTGTTGCACCTCAGTGGTTGCCAAGTCCTGTTGCTTCAGCCAATCTGTTCCTCAGAGTGATGGCACAGGTGAAGAACAGTTAACTATGACTGAAGCAACAGGACCTGATTCCTCTCCGACCTCTGTCAGAACGGTCAGATCAGAATCCATGTGGTCGTCTCCTCCTCTGCACATACGGCCTGTCATCATCATTTGGCGTTGTGCCCTCACAGATCGGTAACAATAAACATGGAGGAGAGTGACGACGGCGACGGGGTCAGTGGAGAGACCAGGATGTTTCACATGTGGTGGACACTTATGGAGAAGTTTCTGATCAGGCCAAACTGGGAGGAACATATCGTAACCCAGTGGTTTGGGAGGAAACGGGGCCATTTTAGTTGTTATTGTGCACATGGCTCACATTTCAATTACACCAGTGCATGTGTGGCAGTTTAAGAGCTCAGTGGTGTTCACACCGGAGCCGGGTACTAGTGCCCGACCGATATAGGATTTTTAAGACCAATATCGATTTCGATATTTGGGGGTTTAAAATTCTGATATATCAGTTCATTATTTAAATTTTTTTTCCATAAACACACAACACAAGATCTTGTCACACGCCTACTTGTTTATGAAAAATGGCAAATGTTTCCCCCCTAATATTGATATTTGTTGACAGTATCATTACACGGAAGTGGGACTGATGCAGACTCAAACTGATCAGTACACTTTATTAGACTTGTTGATCACCTGACAGACATACTTGTACTAATCAGTGATATCAGCTCATTGATCGATCTGGCTATTGATAAGCACAGAAACTGAGTATTCAGTGAAATTGCACTACTTACCTGTCTGCCTCTTAGGATGTTTGAGGACCTGATTGAAGGCTTCTCTGGTCTGGAGCCCCAGGTGTCTCCGGGGGGCGGGGCATGTCGGAGGGGCCGGGGTCTGGAGGAAGTAGAGGGGGTGGAGTCCAGTCTAAGTGTGGGACAGTTTGTCCTCTGTCATTGGTCAGATGGACTGTACTACCTGGGCAAGATACAGAGGGTAACGCACACAAATACAAATACATACACACAAAAACAAACATTCTGTTTTTTGATTGGTTGGCATAAATTTGATGCTGTGACTGGTGGATAGGTAAGCCCCCCCAAGCTGAGCTGCTTCGTCACCTTTGAAGACAACTCCAAGTTCTGGGTCCTCTGGAAGGACATCCAACATGGTGAGAGACAGACAGACAGACAGAGACATATAGAGTCACAAATGGTGAATCACAAGTCCCTTATTTTTTCATTCTTGGACCTTGATCTTTGCTTGACCCAGAAATTGTCCCAGTCCACCATGATGAAGGATACCCCAAAGCTCTTACAGAGTTCTGTAGTAGTAAGTCCAAAACCCTGGAACTGCGCTAGCATTTTTGCAGTTCTGATTCACTCTCTTTGGGTTTTCTTGAATGGGTTTTTGAAATAAGGCTTGTGGTTAACACAAGGCCAATGCATGTTCACATTTTGATCAGTGAAACAAAATGTCAGTAAATACCCCACTTGTCACTAAAAAAAAAACAAAAAAAACTTTTTTAATACTTTTAAAAAAGTGGCTTTACAGTCTCGTTGTGTTTAAACTCAAGCACCTACAAACTATTCTGACTGACTGAGTCAGCCTGATCGCTTACCTCGATCAGGTGGAAAGGATTTTGTAGAGGAGGTGAGCGCTAGAAATCAAATTACAAATTGGAAGCCATGGCGGTGGTGCTGAAGTCATGGGAACATGGTTTAGTTGGTTTATAGCCTAACAATACACGTCACCACAGGAAGTTGATTTGATTTATTCTTTCAAGCATGTAAAGACAGTTGATATGTCAACACACATAATTTTACACATATCCAACAAATGCTAATCCAATAACAATTTCCTTATACCTAGTACATGCTTGAATGGAGTAGGAAGAAGTCAGACTTATCCAGTCCTACCCCATGACATCATCTTACATCATTGGTTTGCAAGCAGTATCTCTACAAAATAACCTTCTTCTACACCACACAAGTAATATACTAAAAAATTATAACAGAGTGTTAACATTCTTACATAATTACATTCTTAAATAATTATCTTCTACACCACACAAGTAATATACTTCCATAGTTTTACCCCACTTATGGAACTTATGGAAGTTCTGCACAGCTCTATACTTCTGGTGACTGTATTTGGGCTTCAAATGTCATAAGACTGGTGTTCACCTGTAAAGATTCTTGTTGAACAAAATGTGCAAGTGCCATAAACCGTTGTCACAAAGCATATTTTCTCTAATAATCCACAAGTCTGTGGAAAAATCCCATTTTCTTTTTGTTGAGGGAACCAGGCGATGCTAACTTTCAGGTAGATGGCTGAGATGGACCTAAAGTGACAATAAATGTCTCACCATCATGTGGTTTTTGTTTGTCTGTCTTTGCTTTTCTTGTCAATCGCAATCTTTTGTCCAATCACACTGCAGCTGGTGTGCCCGGCGTGGAGCCTCGCTGCTCTGTGTGCCAGGAGGCGGGGCCAAACTCTGACAGCCAATTAAACCAAAGCAACCAGATCCTCATCTGTGGCAAGTGTGGCATCGGTGAGTGAGACAGGTGGGGTGAGGAGCAGTGAAACAGACACGTGGGTGGATGGACTAAAGAGAAACGTGAGATGAACCTGATGCTTTGTTTTCAAACAGTTGAGTAGTGCATGTTGGACAGGTGTGACCAGAGTTGATAATCCTAAGTAGCCTTAATACAATCAAGTTGGACTAGTGTGAACAGTCGGGGTCTGAAAACCCTGGATAGTGGCAAACCTGCTGGCTAAAGTAGCAGTGAGCGGCCCTGAATGTTGTGTTTGCTGACCTCTGGTGATACGAGTTACAGCACCTGGGAAGGGTATGGTTAGCATTTCATCAATTCTGCTGCTGTTATTGATCATCTGTCCCTGCTCTCCATATTTGTTTTTTTTTTAAACAACGCTGTCTATAATGGAGGTCCGCCTTTTAGAGTAACTTTTTAACAAGCTATTAAGGGTAGCTATGCTAACATTAGAATACAGCAGTTGACCATCGTATCAGACAAAAAGACAGTGTAGTCTGAACCAGGCATTACGAGCAGCTGTCATCTGAACTTACGGACATCTTTTACAATGGGACCCAATGAGAGATTTAAACTTCACACACTGTGGTTTGGCTACCTGACTCAAAAACTGTACATCCCATCAGTTTTATTTGTAAAACACAAATTAACAACAGCAATAATCTCAGGGCACTTGACATACAAAGGTCTAGACCTTACAGTATTATGGAGAAAAGCCCAACAAATCACCATTGAGCAAGCACTTGGTGACACAATAACAAGTGTGCTTCCTGAATCCTGACAATTTTCTCTACGTCCCCGAAGGGACGTCTTTTAACTTGTTGTTTTATGGTATTTGTATCTTGATGGAAGTTTTTATTGCTGCCAGTTTGTAAATTTGTGTTTTATTTGTGCTTAGGTTTTATTGTTTTAGTATTGTTTTTTGGTTGATACACATTTTTCTATTGTGCAGCACTTTGTGCTCCCCAGAGTTGTAAAGTGCTATATAAATAAAGTTTTATTATTATTATTCTCTAGGTTCTTCACATATACTGTAACTGGTTTATGAAGGCTGAAGGTTGACAGAGGAAAACAGACAAAAAAGTTAAGGTAGAGAGCCTCTGAACCTTCTACGGACAAACCAATGGAGAGGCTGAAAGATAAGATGAACCTTTATTAGTCCCACGATGGGGAAATTCACAAAGCTACTGAGGCAAAACCATAGAAACAAGGCGCTCAGTGATAAAAAATATGACCAAAATCACCTTAAAATGTCAAAAAGTATAAAACATCAGGAAGATGACCTAAAGTCTCAGGTCAAAATGTTTCTAGCCCAGAGTAACAAATCACATTTTATTTGTATAGCACAGTTACAGTGTTACAGGGAAAAACCCAACAAAGCTGCCCGAGCAGCACTTGGCAACAGCGTGGAGCAAAAACCCCCTTTAATGGAAGAAACCTCTGGCAGACCCCGGCTCTTGGTGGGCGGCCTTCTGCCTCAACCGGTTGAGTGGACAGAGGAGAGAAGAACAGCAACAAGACACAACAAACAGACATTGTGATGAGCAGTCGCCATCTGCTCATCAGGACCGTAGAGCTCTTGAGCCAGACCTACCTGCAGAAAGGTGCAGGGAGAGAGAGGACACACAGACAAACCTATCCTAGAATGCATGTCAATAATTTCATTCATTTTTAATTTTCAGCTTTAGACCCAGCAGCACTGCTGGTGAACATTACTTTCACTAGGTGATTATGATGTCTGTGTGTCTGGCTGTCAGGTTTCCACCAGCAGTGTCACATCCCAACAGTAGAGGACAGCAGCAGTCTCAGTCCCTGGTTCTGCAGGCGATGTGTCTTCGCTCTGGCTGTCAGGGTAAAAACACAAATACACACTAATCACACCAAGCTACCTCTACTGCGTCCTCCCAGCAGGAAGTGACCCCGCTGACCTTTCTGCTGACATCCTGTTGAGCATTACAGACAGTCTATAGAGAGATGAACCAGAGTCTGATCTTGAATGATGAGAGGAACCTGCTGCTGCAGACTGGACAATTCAGCTGGATGTTTCAGAGTTTCCTAACATAGTTACAGTCATTCTTTCAAACCAGGGATGTCATTGATTAATTGATAACCAATTAATTGCCGTTAAGAATTTATTCAATTAAAAATATTTTAACCGACAGCACAGAGGCCTGTCTGAAAACGTGCTGTAGTTTGTTGTAGTACCGGGTTACTCCACTTGGTGGTACCTTTTACCATTTAGTGGAGTTTGTGCTTGCTGACCGCCTGTATGGGCTGCACAAACTGAAACAAAATCACCTCCTTGCAATCTAAGAAAGAAGTAAGTGGCAGCGCGGCTTTCCATGCTCACTGTTGCAGTTGTGTTGACAAACACTGCAGCATGACATTTTTGCTAAGTTGTGGGCTGGCAGCTGTCTGGAGTAGCTGCTATCTCCTCGGTTATTGCAGGCCGGGAGCATAGTGTCAGACAGCTGAGAGCGCCATTGAAGCTGCACCAGTAACGTTCAGGACATGTATTACTGTAAGGGTGTTTTTCACACTTGGTCCCTTTTTAAATGAACCAAACTCGTCTTCTTTAAAGTGGACTGGAAAGGGGACCAACAAAAAGGGGACCCAGCTCTTATTGTGTTCACACTGCAAGTACATTTGAAAGAGGGCTCGGATCTCTTTCTGATCCACTTCAGCTCTGATGGGGCCTCAGTCTTCTTTGTGTTTATATTATAGTGACCCTGGAGCTTTAATGTCAAGGGATTCTCTACTTGATCTATTTTTATTGCCTGTGGTAAAGTACTTTTGGCATAGTTTTTTCCACTTTGATGCGGCGCTGCAGTGGGGTCTTAATGAAGCCCCTCACTCAGCTGAAAACTGAAGGAACCCCTTAGTGTGTCTGTGCATTATAGATGGTTGGAGTTTGCAGTCAGTTCTTCCTTGCAACAAACTACACATCCATATAGGCATCATTAAGATTTTTAACAGTACCACTACTCTGGCACTTTATTCCTACTTTTTCTTTGACTGTACTTTTACCTCCTGCCCCCACATCATTATATCTGCCCCTGCTCTGAGCGGCAAGTGATGCTTTGACCATTACAGACTGAATTTATGATCGGACCTACAACAATCAGCTGACTAATGGTTATTTTATTCATTCACCCATATTTGTATAATTTAGTTAACCCCGTGTGTGGGCTAAAGGCTACTTAAATAAATAACGTACCTGGGCAAGGAGATAATCTGTGAGCTAGTCAGTGGAAAACTGCATTTCTCTGTGATGGGCTTTCGCTAGATAATTGAACAAATTGCTGGTGTTTCTGTCCTTACATGCAAAAGACTAGAAGCGAACCTGCAGCTCTTTGTGTTCACAATGCACAGATTAAGTGAACGGCATCACGCGCTTGAAATGATCCAAACTGGGACCAACTCCCATGTAAGTCTCATTTGGGTTTTTTTCAGAGGGCTCCGAGTTCATTTGGAGTGTTCACATTTATGCAAAAAATGCTGACGAATTGCTCTGAGTTTGTTTTGAGGGCTGAAAGGGGCCAAGTGTGAAAACACCCCAAGTAAACATACTTCTAACAAAATCAAGACTAAAGTGATGAACTGTGTAACCTGCTCTGACAATTAATCGATTATTAATTGCTAATGTGGCCAACTGTCTATTAAGAAAATTGCATTCTGATTTCAAACATAGCCGGAGGCAGCTAGCTTAGTTTAGCACATTCATTTAGCTCCCTTTTCTCTGAGTAGCATGGCACAGGGGGTGGCCTTTTTGTCCTCCAAATCTACAAATTCAGCTGAAGGGTTAGGGTTAGGTTTTTCAGTCTGGACGACATGCCAAACCTGTCTGGCTGAACCTTCTGCCTTCTATCTTCCACAGAAAGGGGGTGCTCTGAAGAAAGGTCCTATAGCCAAAGCTCTGTCAGCTATGAAGCAGGTGTTACCGTACGAATTGGACTGTCTGGACTGGGACTCTCAGCACCGGACCAATCAGCAGCAGTGTTACTGTTACTGTGGGGGCCCCGGAGAGTAAGACCGGCCAATCAATTACACTTGCACACTGTGACTCATCCAGGTGTCCCACAGGTGTTCAATGCCATTTATGTATATAGGTGGTACCTGAAGATGCTGCAGTGTTTCAAGTGTCAGCAGTGGTTCCATGAAGCCTGCACCCAATGTCTGCAGGACTCCATGATGTTTGGCGACAGGTACTGCAGCACCTTCTCTGCTCCTGTGTATTACTCTCTATGTCCTGAGACGGTTTCCTCTTACTTCATCTGCAGGTTCTACTTCTTCCTGTGTTCGGTCTGTAATAAGGGATCAGAGTACATCCGTCGTATGTCTCTCAGGTGGGTCGATCTGGTTCACCTGGTTCTCTACAACCTGTCGGTCAGCAGCAAGAAAAAATACTTTGAGTTGGACGAGATCCTGGCCTTCGTCTCTGCCAACTGGGAACATTTACAGCTCGGAAAGGTACCAGACTAGACCTGGACGACATCTGTATTTAAGTAACCTTCAGCTGGATGAGACCCGTTCCTGTTTTTAACCTGTTTGTCTGTCATGTAGCTGTCCAACACTCCTCCAGCAGAAAGAGGGCAGCAGCTGCTGGATGCTCTGAACAAATACAAGAGCAAGTAAGAGTCACAGTACTGATATATGTTGTGTTAACATTCTTCATCAGTAATTTGTGTGTAGACATCATCACCGCTGTGTTTGTGTTCAGGTTTCTGTGTGGGAAGGAGATAAAGAAGAGGAAGTGCATCTTTCGTCTGAGGACCAGAGTCCCTCCCAACCCACCCTCCAAGTTCTTAACCGAGCGTGCTCAGAACGACGGGGGGCGAGGCCGTAAGAAGGGTGTAACCAGAAACAGGTAGTGCTCCCCACTTACCTGGAGACGGTTTGATTGATCAAATAACTCACCTGAACGTAGTGATTAAAGTGAAATGTATTTATGTTCAGTGCTGCGTCTGAAAGAAAGAAAAGGAAGTCCAAGTGGCTCCTAGAAGACGCCATACCTAACGTAAGTCTATTTCCTGTTTCTGAACGAAGCCTCGTGCCACATTAGAGAATTCACTGGCTACAGGTTATTATTCTGTTATTCTTAATGATTAGTTCTTTTTCCTGTATTTCACTTAATGCTAGGGGCTTGAGAGATAAAACTAAGAGAAAATCAATATTTTTACTTTAAAGGCCTAAAGCAGGGGTTCTCAAACTTAATAATCAGAGGTCCATAACAATTAGTGATAAAGTAAATGGCTTTTATTAAACTTGCTTGTAACTCACAAGGAATGTTCACTCACCGGCCACTTAATTAGGTACACCTGTAGAATTGTATGCAGTTCACTGCAGCCTTAACATCTGTGTATATGAAGTTCAAAATAATTGTTTTTAGTGAAATTGTCATAAATGTATAAATTCTGTTTATTATTTGGATTGTAGTTAAAGGTGGTGTTGTACTGGACTACATTATATTTAGAGGTGTTCCTATTGTTCTGATCCTCTTGTGTATGCAGCCGGGGAGAAGGTGGAAGTGTCGCATTGACATGCATACAGGTGTACCTAATAAAGTGGCCTGTGAGAGTACATTTAAGTTTAAGGCAGACTGAGACAAAACACATTCAAGCCTAGAGAGAAAATGCCAGTCTGACTGAGGCTTCAGCAGCAGCAGCTCTCTCTTGCTGTGCCACAGGTCTCACAAACAACCTGTTTGTTGATTCATGGGAAGATTTTACCTGTCCAGGTTTTGCCGTCCTCATCTCTGTTCTCAGTCTCTGTACGAATCAAACACAAGGGCCTTGCACTGGACTGGCGCAAAATGAACGCAGATTTCTCTGGCCACTTGTCTTTGAAAACTTGTTTCTTTTGGTCAACTTTTCATTTTTTTTGCACCCACACAGAACTTGTACTGGTGTTGGTGATAATATAGTTAGACTCACTGGAATTGTTAATAGTCTTCTTCTTCTCTGGAGCCAAATAATGGGCACGCATTATTTCATCTCATATACTGAGCTTCCATGTGAATACTCTCACATCTTTGGCACAAGTACTTGTGTATTATTGACTGATTGGGAAGCCATTGATTATTAGCCAATTAGCGAATGATACATTCATATTTATGCAGCAACTGTCTGAAGTCCCAGAACTACTGTAGTTAATTCATACATTTTCAAAATTCTTTGGTTTACAGTTAAACTTGAATAAATGTGAGCTTCTGTCTATTCATCCATGTAATTTAACAGAGGCATACAACATTCAAGCACGTGGTTCTACACATTTCCAGAGACTGAATGTGAAAATAAGAATGTATGAATGTCAGTCTAGACTCAGCTTGTGGTTGATGAGAGACAGCAGCTTATTGGGCAGGATATTTCTTGCTAGCCATTACAAAACAGTGCTATTAATAAAATTAACTTTGACTATATGAGGAAAAATAAAGTCCACTACCTTAAAAGAGCAGAGTTGACTAAAGAATGTAAGGGTTGAGGTCTGCAAGCCATTGATTTTGACTTTGTTAATGGAAATGAATGGGTAAAATCCTTTTTGATCAACAATAACCTCTGGTACCACATTCCCAGAAAAGTCTTTAAAAAATTAGGAGGCATAGAATTTTTACTTAGATGTGACTTTTAATATCCCAAACCTCCCGGTCAAACTGTCGCTCTTTCATCAGCAAGTTTTATTATTTTGGAAGCTCTTGTACAATCGCAACTTCACACCTCACAATACACCGATTTGGAATAATGGATATATTAAGATGAATACAAATCATTGTTTAACAGAGACTGTCTGGAGAAGTATATTTGGTCCATAGCTCATCTTATTGATAGTGATGGTTGCTTTCTGTCATATGAAAACCTTTTGCGTAATTGTATAATAATTTGCATAATTGGCTTAATTGGTGATCATAACACATTCAGGTCTGTAACCAAAGCCAGCCCAACTCCGTTATGTGTTTGATTAAAGGGAATTTAAGTAACCCTACTTCAATCACCCCTTCCCTTCCTCAGATTTTAGTCGGAGGTTGTGTTTTTAATCAACTCAAATGCATAAACAAAAGGAAAAGTAATATAATAATAATCACCTTTATTTGGCCAAGTATGTTACACACAAGGAATTTGTTTCCGGTACTGAACCGAGGCAGCCATCTGCGGCGCCACCTCAACCGATGGCTCTAACGATCGGGGGCAACGGGGGGGTTCAGTGTCTTGCCCAAGGACACTTCGACATGTGGACTGCCGGCACTGAGATTCAAACCTCAGACCGTCTAGTTGGGAGATGACTGCTCTACCCACTGCACCACAGTTGCCCCATGATTAACATTAATATGAATAACAGCATCTCGTACCCTACTTCTCATTATAGAAACTCTTTCACAAATCTGTTCAAAGGAAACGGCTTGTTAGAAACCAAATATTTAAAATTCCCCGTCCATCCCAAAGCCAAAGGCCTTCATTTCGAAACCTTAAATGAAATACATCCATCTGGTGCCTTGTTAATGCAGTGATTTAGGATTTAATCTAATAACTGTGCATTTTGTGATGAAGCTGAAACTGCAGAGCATCAATTTATGTATGTGAATTGGCATGATGCATATGAATGGCTTCTACCACAGATTCATCACATCAGAGACTTTACTCAGAAGAACATAATATTCGGTCTCCTCAAGGACAACTCTAAAGTTGACTTTCTAATCAATAACATCATCAATGTATGTGAAAATAGTACCTTGTTTCTGTATGTCACAATGAGTTTCTTGCTTTTTTAAAAAACCCTCAAAGTTATGAAAACCAAAAATGCTGTTAAACTTTAACAATTGAATTATATAATTTAAAATAAAAGCCCTAGATCTTTATACTGTAATATTGTACTTTATTTAAGAATATTTATCTATTTACTGTATTTACTTACTTTTTGTGTATGCACTTAATCCCTGTTACAACATGGAATGTTGCTAAAGCTGAGCTGATTATATATAACTTTGTTCAATAAACATGGAAAAAATTGATTTTGCTGTGTCACTTCTCTGAACGTAGAATGAGCTTTCCTGCAGCTGGACGTCCAACCATCACATGGCCAGCATCTTTGACTTCACACTGGATGAGCTGCAGAGCCTCAAGAGGTGAGACACAGATCAACACACCAATATCCTCCAGTAATCACTATTCCAGTGTCTGATGTTCCTCCTCCTCCTCAGTACCTCCACTAGGACCATCAGTATCGATCAGGACTCCACTGATGCCTCCACTTCGGGTTCTGCTACAACCAGCACCTCCTACCATTTCAGGTGACCCCCACTGACTGATTAACTAACCTGTCTTTCATCTTTCCTCTCTTTCTCAGCTCTGACATTATTACCAACATCATAATCTGATGTTCTTAGTAAATCTATTCAAATACAAGTCCTGTGACTGTATTGAATCTGCAGCAGGGCGAGATGGGACCTTTCAGAAAGTGGGCTTCCATCCAAATGTAGTGCAAATCTTAACCAAATATCTGACTGAAGTACTGTCTCCACCCTCTGTGTGTGAGTCTGAGCTGACTGGGTGATGGCAATAAACGGCAGGCAGAGCTCATTTTCCAGTCAGTGCCATTAAACCACTGCAGAAGACGATGAGGTGATGAAAGAGCTCCAGTCAAAGCTTAGACAATACAATCATTTGTAAGCCACAATGGAAATCTGACATTTCAGTTCATTTCATGAGTTCATGTGAGGAAGGTCACAGCCTCGTCTTTCCACACACGAGGTTTGATCCACATGATTCATGTGGTTGTTCAGTGAGTCTGTTTCACTTTGACACACTTTATTTTCCACCTCATCCAAAACAAACTGTTTTTTGTGATACGTCAGGGGTTGCCACTCAGGTTTTTATGCACAAGTTGAAAATGTGGATGGGAACACACCTGCCTAGGTGACATGTAAGAAGCAAACTGACCACCAGTGATGTTCCCTGTTGACCTTTGACTTCTGTGTCCTCAGGAGGAGGGTGGGGAGCAGAAAGAGGAAGTTGCCTAGTAACAGCTACAGCCAGTGGACCAATCGCAGTGAGGCAGGGGAGGAGCTTGGTGGGGAGGAGCTTTCTGGGATCCTGGAAAACCAAGAGGCTATGACCCCCCTGTCATCAGACCCTTCCCACTTCCTATCAGACCCTGCCCAGATCCCCTCTGACTCCTCCCACCTCCACTCCTCCATCTCCTCGTATTTTGGCGTGGTGGGCAGGCTGACCAATGGGGAGCCATACCAGGTGTTGGCTCGCCGTGTCACTCCTCAGGGCACGGTCCAGTACCTGCTGGAGTGGGAGGGAACAACACCTTATTAGGACATTAACAGAGGGATGAGGTGTAGATGTCATATGATGCTTTGATTCCGCCTCCTTCACACTGGCTGCTGATTGGTCACTCAGTTCTGGGACCTCATGGGTAATGACATTGACATATCCATGACAACAGGCCACCTGATGGACTAACTGATCTGATGATAATGCTTTTAAAAATGTCAGCAACCACAACCTTCTGTGCTTTTCAGCCATTGTTAAAAACACAAGGAATACATCCCATTTCTCCACGAGAATAAGAAAACACTGACTTTTAACATCCGAAGTGTTGCAATAGTGTTTTCACAGTGAAGGGTTAGACCCCAGTCTCTGTCTCCTGATCAGACATATCCTTACAAAACCCTGTTCTATACATGTCTCTGCAAACCTGTCAGACTTGTCCCTGTAAAACCCTGTTGCACATATAGTATGTTCCTACACAATGTCAGATGTGTCCTCACAAACCTCTGTCAGGTGGTTTTGAGGAGAGTGAAGGTATCGGGTATCAAAGCTGATCATGATCCTGTAAAAACAGTATTTAGCGAAATCAAGGAAAATTTTTAAATATAGCCAAAGGCCGTGCATGCTCTCACACACTCTGAGTGTTACATGGATATTTAGTGTTCAGGTCTGAATATTATCAGACTGACAGGAGCGTCTCTCTTCTGTCAGACCATTCTTCTTCTCTTCCTCTGAGCTGTTGAACAGTCAGAGGCTCCTGTAGTTTTCTGTAGTGACCCCAGCTGTCAAACAGCACACTGCCTTACTTGTCCTCATGTTATACTTGAGACAGAATGGGAGTTCACTGGATTTTTCCAGTTATCCAGACTTTTAGTGGTTGCAAGGCTCATTTCTGAGGGCAATGTAAATCGGAGGAGAAAATCGGGTGGGTCGCTGTAAACCTGAAAGATGGTGAGTGATAATTTGCGACACCAGACCAAAAGCCACTTTGTATCTGTATTCCTGATTGTCTAACATCGACTCCCAATGCATTAGTAAATTTGCTTGTGATCGGTCCATTCCCTGAATCTGTATTAGCTGTGAAATTTCATCGCATCCAACCCGCAGTTTCATGTAAGACATTTACAACATTCATCTGGTGACTTGAAGCCTTATTTTGTGTACATGTAACAAATTCAGACATTATAGTTGAATGGTTACACTAATCCTATTGAATTTCAGGGTAAGAGTAGCAGAGATTACGCTGCCTACTTGAGATAGAGAAAATCTGTAACCAACCGGACTGGGGCAGGCCGGTTTTGGGATATTGTGATATCAGCCTTTATTAAAGTCTCACATTAAGTTCAGATAACAGACTCAGTCTCTGACTGTGCAGTCATGTTGGGAAGAGATCACTTCCTGTCAATATTTCATCTCCATATGCCATAATAAATTAGACTTGAAGGATCAGCTTCCCAGAATACAGTGTTTCTTGTGTTAGCCCTCAGAGTAACAATCGGTTTCCTGTTCTAACATTCGGTATCTATGCAAACATCAGTCTCCGCACCAAATGCAGCTCCCTGACTGATGATCATTCACAGCCATTAATCGGGAGCCTTGAGCTTTTCAGATTCTTGAGCCCTGCACAAGAATTCCTATATGCCTAGACGGTCTGTTTATGCATAAATGGCAAATAAAAATCTTGAATCTTGATTAGCTTGAAGCTAACAGAGCCCGTTGGTTTGAATGAAGAATGCTAATTGTGCTAACAGTCTCTGAGACGTTAAACAGTCACTCAGTCACTTTAAACCTGCAGCTCCTTGCTGCCATGGTAACCATGCTCCCATCCCATTGGCTTGTTGATGGTTGTTTTTGTCATGTGACTGTATGTTTGCATTTTTTCTATTCTATTCTGATCACCTGTCAGCTTTCTCTAAAATAAAAGAACTGGTGTTTGACCTTTGACCTTCCTGCTTCTGTTTTTGTGGTTGTGTTGTCTTTGTATCTGTCTTAGTGATGACATTTCTGCACTGTGAGGACACATCCGGACCTTGAAAGGACTATTTGAGGGTTCAGACTTGATTTTAGGGTTCAGGTCAGAATCGGATTTAGTTTAGGGACAGGGGGATGTATTATGTCAGTGACTGTCCTCACAGAGATGGAAGTACAAAGAGGTGTGCACAGCAATGAGAGTGCATCAGGTGTTAATACAATTAAGGTGTTAAACAACAAGTGAAGAACTTCTACAAACATTAAAGGTCACAGTTCAGGCGCGTCTCATATTCCTGAGGGTCCCTGCAGACAGACAGACAGGTAATGACAATGACGGCAGCTGAAGAGACAAACTGCAGCTTTTACATTTACCTGGCTGTAAGTGTGCCTGTCCATCTGTACTTTTCTTCTGTCTCTGCATGGCTTTGTCCACCTGTTGCTCTTTTTTTAAGTTCTGCATACCTGTCTGTTTGCCTGTATACTTGGCTATCAGCTGTCTGTCTTTTACCAGTTTGTGTTTTTATCTGAAGCTACCTGTCGTCATCTCTGTTCATGTTTATTCTACCTGTTTGTCACCTCCATCTACTTGGCTTTACATCTGCCTAGCACTACACACTTGTCAGTGTGTTTATCTGTTTGTCTACCGGTGTCACTCTACCTGTCTATCCTGTATCTTGTCCTATATTACTTGTCTCAGGTATATATGTCATTTTAGAGACAGGTGAGTGATGTCACCATGCAGATAACCCAGAATGCTGTTTTTTTCCCCCCCTTTACTCTGCAGGGGATCCTGATTTTTCCCCCCCCCCTTTACTCTGCAGGGGATCCTGTTGCCATGGAGGAGCTCATGAAGCATCAAACCAGGTGTCAACACCTGGGCTGGATGAATGTGATTGGTGAGTAGATGATTGGCAGCTGGATGACAACAAATCAGCTGACAGAGAGATGAGACTTGGGGACCAAATAGGGAGGTCTGCATTGTTTACTGCCTGTCTATACTGCTTATTTTGTTATATTACATAGCCTTATGCTCGTTTACTGTTTACTTGCCCCTTGCATGAGGATATGTACATACACGTGTGTCTGACACACCTGGCCAATAAAGCTGATTCTGATTTGATTGGTTGCTGAAGGTTTGACAGATGTTTCCCTGTTGGTTACTTGTTTACCTGCAGGTTCACGAAACTGGTTCCTGAATGAAACGTGGCACGTTTGTTTGATTACGACAGCATGATACAAACACACCGAGTTCCACTGGATTAAAGGGTTCTGGTAGTTCTACTGGTTTACTACTACTACAACTACTAGTGCTGCATTAGTTCTATTAGTACTACTGCTGCTAGTACTGCTACTACTATTACCACTCATACCAATTCTACTACTACTAAGGTAGTGAAAGTACAAGAGAAATATAATGCTTACATGTAAACGTGTCGGAGTCCAGTAATATATAATGCCCCGTGAATCATCAGTTGTCACCCAACTGACGATGCGCATGCTGGGGGAGGAACCGGAGCACCCAGAGAGAGCCCACGCGGGCACAGGGAGAACATGCCCAATAATATATAATACTATATACTGTGGCTCAGGAGGTAGAGCAGGTTGTCCTCTAACCATAGGGTTGGCATTTTGATTCCTGGCTCTAGTCCACATGTCAAAGTGCCCTTGGGCAAGGCATCAAACCCCAAGTTACCCCCGGTGATATCACTGGTGTGTGAGTAGGTGAATGGGCCGATAGTGTAAAGTGCTTTGAGTGCACTTCATTGTGTAGAAAAAAGCTATACAAGTATAAGATCATTTACCATTAATAATATATCAAACAGGCCATGTTTCTGCATCGAGTACATTCACTTTTAATACTTTAAGTACACTGTGCTAACAGTACCTTTTATTAGGACAGCATTTTCAGTTTTTGGCTTTTACTTCTCATGGAGTATTTTTAAGTAATGGGTCTGAGTACTTTGTAGCACTGCCTCACTGAAAGTCAGACGGACACTCTGGGGTAAAGTTGCAAAATTGATGTTCCAGATAATCTGAATAATAATAATACTGCTGCTACATCTATTATTACTATTGCTACTGCTGCTACCACCAGCATTAATGAATCTCAGGTGTGACTGGTGTCAGTCCAAATTGTTGTAGAATTGCCTGTTTTAGACCATTCTACAGGAAGTGTTGAGATTCATTCATGGCAGCTCAACATTGTTCAGTAAAACATCTGACATGATTTTGTTGATCTTATTCTCATTTCTTTCTCCTTCTTCTCCTATTCCGGTCCATCCTCTTCTTCTGGCAGAGAGGGCGGAGACTTGTACTGTCTGGTTGCTAATATACACTCTCCATGTGACCTCAGCAGTGCCTCGCTCCACCCACAAAGATAGGGAAGACGATGGTTTTAAAAAGTAGCGGATGACAGACACAAACAGATAGATGACGGATGTGGAGTTAGATGCTATGTTCGAAGACCTGAGTGGTGAGAAGAAGCCTCGGTTCTTTCCTTGTTTCGTGTGTATTTGCTGATGCAGCAGGGATTACGTTGTGTTTAATCTTGTAATAATCTGATATCTGAGAGCAGTTACTATGGTGACATGGCTGACTGCCATGATTCAACTTTAACCAAACTTACCAGGAGCCCAGACAGCAGTTTAACCTGCAGATACACCTGAGGTTCAAAGGTCACAGTGATCAGCTCAGTTGGTTTCCAGGGAATCTAAACTAAACCTAGCATTTACTTTTTACCAGTTAGCGTTTTGGTGCAGTTTTTTCCACACAGTCAAAGATCAGATATGAAAAATAAAAAATAAAAGCTAAGACCAGTAAATTGAAAAATTTTAAAAATCTTGAGCCTGATTTTACTGTTCTACACTTCCCAATGCTCTAAACTGTTCCACTGTGAAGTTTGTAGATGGACACCAATGGAAAAATTAAGCAGAAATGTTCTGTTTCTTAGAAAGTTGTAGACGACGTCAGACTCCGTCAGCTGCAGCCTGTGTTTCCAAACAACCATCGACAGTAGAAGAGGGTTTTTTTGTAAGATTTGTATTTTGCATTGACAGCCAGTGTAGAGATTTGTGGAGAGAAAATGATATGCAACAAGGCTCCAACCACAAGTCAGTTCACACTCGGTTAGAGGTGAGTCACATCGTTTGAGACACGAGATGGTCCAGTGTTGGTGTGTCAGTTTCATGAGGAGCACCGGTTTTCTGTTATTCTCACTGACAAACCAAAATGCTGTCATTCACTATTGAGTCAGTTATTTTCTGAGTTTGTTGACTTCAATACAACAACACCAAATAGGCTATAAAATACAGTGATGACGACGTGAAAAACATGAGCCCCAGACAGTCTGCTACATTCATTCATTTCATTCATTTTCTACCGCTTAGTCCCTGAACGGGGTCACGGGTGGGGCCGGAGCCAATCCCGGCGGGCAATCGGGCGAAGGCGGGGTACACCCTGGACATGTCGCCAATCCATCGCAGGGCTAACACATAGACGAACAACCACACATACACGCACGCACTCCTACGGGCAATTTAGAGACACCAACCAACCTAAGTTGCATGTCTTTGGTCAGTGGGAGGAAGCCGGAGTACCCGGAGAGAACCCACGCAAGCACGGGGAGAACATGCAAACTCCTTGTCTGCTACATATAATCCAAATGTTTGAGCCTCTACTCAGTGAATTAAATCATCTGAGTTTTGCTTCAAGTTTGCCCGGTGTGACACTTTCCTGGGATAGAAGTGCGGAAAGTTTGTGTTTTTGTTTTAACCACCCACTCACCTGTCCACTTTTGTATAAGACTGACATCACATTGTATCGTTCTCGTAAGTACATGTGTGGAATATAAATGAGTAAAAATCCCCTGAGAATGCGGCTTATTCAGGCAGACGCTGGCTCAGGGACACA